ATTTTCTTGAATATGGATATGCACCATTTATTGGAAAGACATCTTTTCTCTGTTACCTTGAAGCCTTTGCTGAAAATCAGTAATCACTATGTAGGTCTCTTTCTAGACTCCCTGTCCTGCTCCATTAATCTGTGTGTCTATCTTTATGGCAATATCACCTTGTATTTCTTTTTTTTTTTCTTTTTCTTTTATTTATTTATTTATTTATTGAGATGAAGTCTCTCTCTGTCACCCAGGTTGGAGTGCAGTGGTATAGTCTCAGCTCACTGCAACCTCCACCTCCCGGGTTCAAGCGATTCTCTTGCCTCAGCCTTCTGAGTAGCTAGGATTACAGGTATGCACCACCACCCCTGGCTAATTTTTGTACTTTGGTAATACACATATTTTATATGCCCAATCGTTTCATATTTTTGATGCTATTTTTTAAAAATTTCAACTTCAGACTGGTATTGATGCTATATAGAAATATTGTTGATGTCTTGTATATTGACATTTACCATGTGACACTGTTAATTCTAGAATTAAAAAAATACAGAATCTTTAGGATTTTCTACGTATAGATGTTTATCTTGTGCAAAGGAAGATAACTGTACTTCTTCCTTTTCAAACGGTATGTCTTTTATTGCTTTCTATTTACATTACTGCATGGCTAGAAACTCCAGCGCAATGTGGAATAGAAGTGGTAAGAGTGGCATCCTTGCCTCGTTCCTGATCTTTGGAGATAACCGAGGTTTTCCTCATTAAATATGATGTGAGCTGTTTTTTACAGATGTCCTTTGTCACATCTCTTTTATTCCTAGTTTGATGAGTTTTATCATGAATAAGTATTGAATTTTCTCACAAGCTTTTTCTGCACTACTGGCATGATCATATGGCTTATTTAGTTACATTGATTGAGTCAATCTGGAATAATGCCATTTGGTCATGATTTACCTCTTATATTGATAGAATTGATTTGCTAATATTTTGTGAGGAATTTTATATAAGTGTTCATGGAGGATATTGATCTTTAGTTTTCTTTCTTGTAATTTTTTTTTTTTTTTTTTTGAGACAGAATCTCACTCTGTCACCCAGGCTGGAGTTCAGTGGCACGTCTCGGCCCACTGCAACCTCTGCCTCCTGGGTTCAAGCCATTCTTGTGCCTCAGCCACCTAAGTAGCTGGGATTACAGGCATGCACCACCACACCTGGCAAATATATGTATTTTTAAATCTTTGGTAGAGATGAGGACTCACCATGTTGGCCAGGTGGGTCTTGAACTCCTGACTTAAGGTGATCTGCTGCCTTGACCTCCCAAAGTGCTGGGATTACAGGTATAATCCTGGCATCTTTCTTGTAATTCTCTGTCTAGTTTTGATATTAGTATGCTGGCTTCATAAAATGGGTTATTCTAATATTATGAAGAGTTTTTGCAGAATTGATATTATTTTGTAGATGGCACTGACTTACCACAATTATTTTCTGTGTTTTTGTCCTTTTCATGTTTGAAATGCCTATGAGGTCCACTTGTCCATGATGCTTTACACTGCAGTGATTTAAAATAAATCTGGCAAGCAGCTATTTTCCTTTTTGTCTCTTAAAACCTTTGCAACTCTGATAATCATGGAAATCTAAAAACATTTTTTAAGAAATAAGAATTATTGGCCAGGCACAGTGGCTCACACCTGTAATCCCAGCACTTTGGGGTGCTGAGGCGGGCAGATCACTTGAGGTCAAGAGTTTGAGACCAGCCTGGCCAACATGGTGAAACCCTGTCTCTATGAAAAATACAAAAATTAGCTGGACATGGTGGTGGGCACCCGTAGTCCCAGCTACTCGGAGGCTGAGGCAGGAGAATTACTCGAACCTGGGAGGCAGAGGTTGCAGTGAGCTGAGACAGTGCTGCTGCACTCCAGCCTAGGCAACAAAGCGGGACTCCATCTAGGAATGAATGAATGAATGAACGAATAAGGTTTAGTAGTATTTACGAAGGACTAGAAGTTTATATTAAATATTCAAACACTACAGTAGGGAACATTTTGGGTAGCTTTCAAGTAACCTAACATTACCATCTCCTAACAAGGCTAACAATACACAGAATCAGGTTTTGGAACCGTCAATTGAAGGACATCTTCTGTTTCCAAAACTTCTTAGAATACCATTTATAGGATTGGTGTAAAATATACAATGCTTTTACTTTTAAGAGTCACCCACACCCATTATGTTTGCTACTCAGACATAAAAACAGAAAATAACAAGTATTGATAAGGATGTTGAGAAATTGGAATCCTTGTGCACTGATGATGGAGTTGTAAAATGGTTCGGCCACTGTGGAAAAACTATGGTGGTTCCTTAAAAAGTTAAAAATAGAATGACTATATGATCCAACAATTCCATTTCTGGGTATAAAGAAAAAAGAGTTCTGAAGACATATTTGTATACCTATGTAAATAGTGACAATATTCACGATAGTCAAAGGGCAGAGACAACTCTGGTATCCATTGATGGATGAATGGATAAACAAAATATATACAGTATATACACACACACAATGGAATATTATTCAACCTTAAAAAGGAAGGAAATTCTGCAATATATTACAACATAGATGAACCTTGAGGACATTATGCTAAGTGAAATAAGCTAGTCACAAAGAGACAAATACTGCATGATTCTACTTATAAAAGGTACAGTACCTGGAATGTCAAATTCAGAGACAGAAGGTAGAACAGTGGTTCCCAGAGGCTGGGATGAATACAGGAATGGGGAGTTGTTGAATGGGTATAGAATTTGTTTTGTAAGGTTAAAGGAGTGCTGGAGGTTGGTTGCACAACCACCACTGTATCATTATATCACTACTGAACTGTATACTTAAAAATGAGATGGTATATTTTGTTCTGTGTGTGTTTTTTAAGTGACTCACCATTAGTAGTATACCAGCTATGAACACACACTTATATCAGGGCAAGAACTATACGCAAGATCATGACCACTTCTCTCCTATATGTTTCTGTCCCAGTATGGGAATACGGACCTTAACCTTTAATACTGTGTCTCAGTGTTCAGTGCTCTTTGTGTCACTGCATTCCTTCAAATCAGCAATGTGTCTTATGTTGATTGCTAAGCTTTAATTCTCACGGGAGAATTATAATATCTTTCCTATTTTCCTGATTTTGTTACTGATTTTTCTTGGGATTCAAAATTTGGAAAAACAAAATTTCTCAAGAAATGCTGGAAAGGAAATCCCACTTGGAAACACTAACCAAAATGTTTGCAAACAAAATAAAGCAATAGATAAAATGGATCAGCTGAGGTTATACTAGGAGTATAAGATGATTTAACCTTAGAAAATCAAACAGTGTAGTTTACATTAACATTCAAGGAAAATAATCATCATCAGTAAACACAGATAAACTGTATGAATTCACCATCTGTAATAAAACCTCACAGCAACCTAGGGACAGAAAAGAACTTCTTTAATCTGATAAGGGAAATATACACATTAAAGAAAAAAAACCCTGCAGCAAACAGTAAATTGAAAGGTAAACACTAACATTTTTATCTTTGACACGAGGCGTAGGACAGAATGTCCCAACATTCTACCGATGATTGTGCTAAAGAGAGGTCCTAGCCAGTAAAGGAAAAAAATAAAAAGCAAACAGTATGGGATTGGAATATGATCCAACAATTCCATTTCCAACATTACTCATAGATGATATGATTATATACACAGAAAATCCAAACATTACTCCTAGATGATATGATTATATACATAGAAAATCCAAGAGAATCCAGATATATTTCTAGAAAGAATTAAAAGAGGTTACTGTGGTTACTGGATAGAAAAATCAATATGTAAAAACTAATTTTAATTCTAACAGTAATAATTAGGAAAAACTTATGAAAAAAAAGTCCTTTATAAGAACATTAAAAAAATAAAGTGCTTAGGAATCAACGTAGTAAAACTATGCAAGATCTCTGCAAGGAAAACTAAAACTTAGCTGAGTGACATTAGGAACGGGGGGAAAATCCCTACCTGAAAGATTTAACCACAAGTGAAAACACTAATAAAAATGTCTGTCAACCAAAAAAACTCCATTAAGAGAATGAAGAGACAAGCCACAGAATCAGAAAAGATGTTAGCTAAGATGGTTATGTAATCCAACAAAGGATCAGTAGAAATATCAGCAAAGAATATGTACAGGCAATTCATCAAAGAAAATCATACTGACTAACAAGCATATACTAAAAAGTTTAATCTCCCTAATAATTAGTGAGGTACAAATTAAAATGAGACATACCATTTTAATCCCATCAAAATAACTATTTTATTTTGAAAATATCAAGTGAGGCAGCAAAATCACCCCTGGGTTTAAGAACCACTGCTTTTGGATCATACACAATGAAAGTATATATTTCTACATACTGTTGTACATAAAACTATGTATGCTGTACTTTTAATGGCAAAGGGATTTTTCAGAGGATAAATGTCTATTATGAGATCTCCTTACTTACCAAATTCTGAGTCATTATAATCTTTGTGGAAACTGACTCCACTATATTCATGCAAAATTCAGTTTGTTAAAATCTAGGCAAAAGAGCCTAAAACTCTGAAGAGGACTGAATTTATTTTAAAAATATGATAAACAAGTAAAAAACCTTTGCATTTAGGATACCAGGATCTTTGCACTTGTCATATTCTAGTACAGATCTTTTAGGCTAGAAATGTCAACTAGATCACTTTCTAGGCCCAAAGAAAGAACACTGATATTTGCCTTTTTGTCAGGAGGCGATTAAGAAACACTACTAGGATACTTAAACTGAGATGCAACATTATCAGACTGGCTGTGCGGTAGGCTCCCTGGTTCACACTGCATCGTCAGTTGCCTATCCTCCTCAGATTGGGAGCTTTAGATAGGCAGACTATGGCTGCCTTGCTCACTGCTTTCTCCTTAGGAACGAGTCCCATGCCTGGCACACAGAACACACAAATATTTGAATAAAGTGAATGAGTCTTAGTATATGCTTTTAGAATTATTTATTCAAAAACACTTTATAATAGATTCAGGTAACAGTAAAGTAATACAATCAATAGTACTAAAATAAATCTATAGAAAATAGATAATTTCATTAAGGTGCAATTAAAATACTTGAAATTGGGACACATCTCTGTGTTTCAAACCAATATACTGGCTTTCTACTTTTTAAAAGACTATTCCAGTCTTTAAGATGTCCAAAGTTTTTCCTCTTTGCTTTTATTTGCTTTGGACCATATTTAAATTTTTAACATTCCTAAGTGCATACATACATTTTAGGCATATACTATAACGACCAAGAGTTTTTTGTGAACCTACTGATTAGGTAGACACTTTGGGGAGGTATGACCTGCACAAAGTAGGGTGGGAGGGCTATTATCTCCCTTAATCTGGACACAACTGTTCAAGCAGTCTATAATTTATTAGCTTCTCTAATAGCTTCACTATTTGGTTTTCATTGACCTTTTGAGCAACTGACTGGCAAACCCCTGATTTTTTTCACCTGAAATCTTTTCATGTTAGATATTGTCCATATTACACTTATACTTATTTACTATCTTCTTGCCTTGGACAACTTATTTCTCCAAATTTTGATTTCTCCAGCAGTAAATTGGGATATCACTAATCTTGCAAGGCAAAGATCAGAGATGCTGCATATAATATGTGTCAGTGACTTAGCATACAACAAATATTCTATGATTAATATTTTCAAAATCTAACTACTCCTCATTTTTCCTTGGCAGTTTTCTAAGTCATTTGCAGAAAGTGTTCCAGCTTGCCAAACCTTTTTTTTTGAGACAGAGTCTCGCTCTGTTGCCCAGGCTGGAATGCAATGGCAACCCCGTCTCTACTAAAAATACAAAAAAAAATCTTTTATAATCTTAATTCTGTCATCTGTGAATTAGTTATTTCTCCTACGTCTGTGATCTGTATGTAAATTTGATAAACTTTTCAAAGCCATTGATTAGAATACTTGAACAGAATAGGAGCCTTATGGCATACCACGCAAGGCTAAAGAGCGGATTAATGATGTTATTCAAAGCTCTCTGGATGCATCAACTAGCAAGAATTAGCTACAAATTCATTTAACTATACTATTATCTAGTTGATAATTTCTAATTCCACCCATGAAGACTTCAGGGCTTTCTTAAAGACATTCTAAGTTTACTGCGTTTCCTTGATTTACTATAGTAGTAAAAACTACCAATATATACCAAATATTCATTTAGGCAGCTTATAAGAAAAAGATACACCAAGGTAAGTTTGTAATTTGAAATGCAAAGTAATATTCTGAACAGTTCTCCAGAAATCAAACCAACAAATTTATAGTCCAAAAAGTTCTGGAGATTGGTTTTAGGGGAGGGGAATGTGAGGAGATCAAATATGAATGAGTGCCTGCCATTGGCAGTAAAAAGAAATGCCAACTCTTCCTAAGAAAAAAATTTATATAACCTTCAAGGTCCAAATACGAGGAGAAAGCTCAACCACCCATTTGTTAATCTCTGCAGCTGGGATGAACATTTTCCTAAGGATGGAGAAGAGATTATACTCACTAATACATGAGTCAGTAGTTTTACTTTCAGGTGGCTTTTTATCTGATGTTTATCTGATATGATGACAGTTGGGGGACAGAGAAATGTTCCACTTCTAGCTGTGTATCAAACTAGATACCTAAGCCCTTCCCTTCCAACAGAATACAGAGAAATGCTAGATAAAATGTAGAAAACATTCTTTTAAATACATACCAGAACTTACAAGAAAGTAAGGGGAAATCGTTATGGTCACAAATGAGGGGAATGAGGCCGGGTGTGGTGACTCACACCTGTAATCCCAGCACTTTGGGAGGCAGAGGCAGGTGGATCACGAGGTCAGGTGATCGAGACCATACTGGCTAACACAGTGAAACTCCATCTCTACTAAAAATTCCAAAACTCAGTCAGGCATGTTGGCACACGTCTATAGTCCCAGCTACTCAGGAGGCTGAGGCAGGAGAATCGCTTGAACCCAGGAGGTGGAAGTTGCAGTGAGCTGAGACTCCAGCCTGGGCAACAGAGCAAGACTCTGTCTCAAAAAAAAATGAAGGGAATGAAAAACCAGAGAGGTAAATATGTGAGCTGATGCTATAGCTGTCTTAGAACAATTTGCCAGTTCATTAACCCATGGCTTTTAGCTTCGACATCTATATGGGGACTAAAGAACCCAGGACTTGTCAAAGGCAGGCAGTGGGAATTAAATGTACCTCCTTCCACCCCTACCATAAAGGTGGGACACATGGAAGCGTATACTCTCAGTGAAAAAGGCATCAATCAAATATTCTGCCCACTAGCACAGGGAGATGAGGAAGTATGTCTGCCTTGGCCTGAGAAATCTCCTATCAGTAAGTTATGCTACACTTCAGTTATGGAAACCCTAAAGCCAAGAAATTTAAAATAAGAATGGGCATGTGTCAGCAACAGTCCTGGGAATATGACATAAACAGAGACTCACGATTCCCATAGATAAAGCCTTGCTGAAAATAAACTCAATCTTCAAAAAGACAAAAATGGATAAAGTCTATCAAATACAAAAATCAACATATATAAACAGCAGGAACTAAATTTAATAGAACTATTAGAGTGACTATCAAGTACAGACATTTAAAATAATTAGTGACATAAAAAGAAAACATTAAAAAATGACATCAAGAAACAGAGATCTGAAAAAATGATGCATAATTAGAAATGAAAAACAATTTCTGAAAGAAGAAGCCCAAGGGATAGGGTAAAAGAGATTATATACAGCTGACAAGAGAATTCATGAACTAGAAGGCAATATATGAAGGTGTCACAGAAAGATAACATATATGGACAATACAGAAGGGCTTAAAAGATAAAGAGAATAGAATGAGAAGTTTCAATACACACTTAAAAAAATAGTAACTACACTGTGTTTTTGAAATTTGTTCTCCATAACAGCTTCATTATTTAGTAACACAGTGATCTTACTAGGAAAAATCCAAATCCATTTTTTTTTTTTTTTTTTTGAGACAGAGTTTTGCTCTTGTCACCCAGGCTACAGTGCAATGGCATGATTTTGGCTCATAGCAACCTCCACCTCCCAGGTTCAAGAGATTCTCCTGCCTCTGCCTTTCGAGTGGCTGGGATTATAGGTGCCCACCACCATGCCCGGCTAATTTTTGTATTTTTAGTAGAGATGGGGTTTCACCATACTGGCCAGGCTGGTCTCAAACTCCCGACCTTGTGATCCGCCCACCTCAGCCTCCCGAAGTGCCGGGATTACAGGCGTGAGCTGCTGTATTCAGCCCGAATAACCATTATTTCTAAAGAGTGAGAGCAGAGATGTTTCTTAAGACCATCAAAACATTTTTGAGTGGTGTGATTAAATCAAGTATTAAAACCAACATTCAAAAAAAACCCACAATAGTTCTCTTAGTTAAATATGAATCCCTATTTAAAGTATGTTGGCAGGTTAAAAATAAAGGCTAAAATATAATTTCTAAAGGCTGAATACAAGGGTAATTCATATGCTGAAGATCACACCCAAGCTTTCCATCCGGGGAAAAGTCGGCTGAGATTTTTGGGGTCCATGGCCTGCTGTATGAGCAGATTCACTTGTCCACCAACACTGAGCACAGTGCCTTCTTCCACTCCTTTCAGTTTCTCTTGTAGTCTCATTAAGACACGTTCAGCTACTTTGTTGAAACTCTGGTCAATATCACTAAGGACAAAAACACAAAGGTTTCAGTGAGGTGAATAGTTTAAAGGCCTTGGGAATAAGAAAATCTGAACAACTGACAGGACCTTCTTAAAATACTGCTCACCTGAGATTTCGTTTGCATTCTTGGTCATCTGCATTCAGAGTAGGGTGAAGCTCAGTTTCATCTTCTGGCCTCTGCTGTAAATACAAAGCTTTCAAAGGATTCATGGTCCAGTCAAAGAGTGGATCATACAGAAGGACCTAAACAGAGAGAACATATGTATTAAAAGAACAATGTACATTTTAATCACATACTTAGAAACAGTAGAACCAGTATCATACAAATAACAGAGGCCAGTCACGTGGTAGATGATGGGGGAGGGGAACAAACATCATGCACGCTTCATGTTTCCTTGTGGAGGAAACTATCCTAGCATAATGCTCAAGCTTCTCATTCAACCCTGAATTCATTCTTCTTCCATGGTTAGGGGTGACATCCCTTGACCCATGTTTCCCGACTGGATGAAACTAATCTATTAAAAGGAGATAAGCATTAGTCACTTTCTTTCCTTCTCTCTCTACTCTTAACCCTGCGTTAGGGTATTTGCTTTGTAGGGCCCAATTCTTCCTCAGTCAGGCTGTCTCAATATATAGATTGGGTTGTGGGGACTGGAGAGCATGAGCAAGCCTATTTGGACCTCACTCCTAAGCCATCTTCTCCAATAGTTTTATCAGTAACAAACCTGAAATTCTGATCTCTACCCTATTCCTATGGCTCTTTTTCTCTCAGTTCTAAATCTGGGTGGATCCAAAAAGGTATAATTTATTGAAACCTCCTCAAAATCCAAGGTTTGGTGCTGTGTTTAGAATCTTGAGATATATATTAGGTGTAGAATTAGGATACCAAAACAACTGACATGGCTAGAGCAAGTGGCTTTAGGTCTTAAATTTTAGAAAGTGAGGTCATGAGGAATCTGATATTGGCAGGTCAGAACAGCTAACTGCTCTGGTATTTATAAACACAGAACTTAAAAAAAAATAGGCTTTGGCAAATGCTTACAAATCTTAGTAGTAAGTGGAGACAATACAAAGACTGATTCTACAGGGCATTCCAGTATTACAAGGTTGGAACACTTTTTTGCTGCTACCTGTACACAGTTTCTCAGTAAATCTGCAGGTTGGGACTATAAAATGTCTTTAGTAGATTTAGTTTCAGGACATGTACTATATTAGCAGAACCAAAATCTCTCTATTTTTTAATGCTGTTTTGAGTGTCCTCCAGGACCATTAAATACTGTGGAGAAACTGAGCTTGATTACATGTGGCTTGTTCGTAAGTTCAAGGGTTCCTATGTGACTTCAAGTTGGGCATTGACATGGCTTTAGATTTCAGAGATCCAAACCAGTTTCACCCACAAAAGGAAAATATTAATATATTTTATTAATGAACTAATGAAAAGGAATGAAGGCCTCTAATATAGACTAGATGGTTTTCTTGGGTTGAAGTAGAAGAAAAATCCAAATTACTTCAAAACCAAGGGCTTGTGTCACAAGTCACACTTGGAAATATTAGAATTAAGCAGGAACTGGAATAAGTAAAAAACTATGCTTCAGTCTGACAATCAAGACAGAAGTGGCTGGAAACAGTAAAGGAATAGAGACTGATTAAGCGAGAGCAGGGTTTCTCTCAGCACTACTGTCATTTTGGATGGGATATTTCTTTGCTGTGGGGGCTAACTTGTACATTCTGGGGTGTTCACCAGCATCCCTGGCCTCTACTCAGTAGATGCCAATACTGTCCTCATCTCCCATCCCCAATTGTGACAACCAAAAATGCCTCCAGACATTGCCAACTGTCCTCTAGGGGACAAAATTGCTCTTGGCTAAGCATCGTTGAGCTAGAGGGAGAGAGATATTTCCTTAGCAGAACATATAAAATCTTAAGAGGACAGAATGGTCCACTGGGAAGAAAACGAAATCTTGAAGGCCAGGAGAGACAAATACACTGAGAGGAAAAGGGAAATACACCCAGGTCAAAGTGCTCTGAAGGAGGGGCTTAGGAAGCAGGGAGATCAGAACAGAAATAGTGACTGTGTCTCAATGAAATCTAAGAGAAGAAAATAAATGAATCCAAGAGAGGAGAGAAATGATGTCCCAGAGGACTGGGAACCTGGATGCTATTGAGAAGCACCCTCCTAAAGCTGGATGCTATTGAGAAGCACCCTCCTAAAGCTGAAGGCAGAAAGTGGTCTTACTGTGGTAAGATCACTGGGGAAGTTATTATTGAAGATTGGGACAATCACACCAAATGATTTTGGGAAATTCAGACAGATTTACAGAGGGAAGATCAGGTAGATGAGTGTAAAATACACAAAGCATTGGAGGGTGTGTTTAAAGGTGAGAGTTATTGTAGGTGGAGATGCAAATCACTTTTCAGACTCAAAACCCTCAGGAAATCCAAAGTCCTTACAATGGCAAAGGATCTGGCCACTGTCACTTCTCTAATTTGATCTCCTACCACCCTAAAAAGTGAAGTCCATAAGCAGTTTGCCATTAAACTAGTAAGATTTTTGAGGCCCTAAAAGAACTACCGTCTTCTGGTGAGTGTTAGGTAGGATAAAACTACTGGAAGAAACTCCCAACTCCACCTTAGCATAAAAATCCCTTCTGACTGAGACTAGGTAGAGTAAAATACTAAAGAATATGTTAAGCTGCTTTGACTCTTTAATTTGAAAAGTTTGGGTTTTTTTTTTTTTTTTACTGGTTTTTTTTTTTTTAAAGACAGAGTCTTGCTCTTGTCGCCCAGGTTGGAGGGCAATGGCACGATTTCAGCTCACTATAACCTCCGCCTCCTGGGTTCAAGAGATTCTCCTGCCTCAGCCTCCTGAGAATTTGGGATTACAGGTGCCTGCCACCACACCCAGCTAATTTTTGTATTTTTATTAGAGATGGGGTTTCACCATGTTGGCCAAACTGGTCTCGAACTCCTAACCTCAGGTGATCCACCCGCCTCGGCCTCTCAAAATGCCGGGATTACAGGCGTGAGCCACCGCACCTGGCCTGGGCTGCTGCTTCTTACATGACCAAGTGCAAGATAATATAACTTTAGAGTTTAATTTCGACATTATTGAGGCATCCATGTTATCATGTATTCTTTTTTAAAAATGTTACACATCATGCTTATTTTCTGTATCATGTATTCTTACTGCAGAACCAATGGCAAACTGTAACAAATGACAACATGTATGAACAGAATTTGAAATGGGTGAAAGAAAAAAGAAATGTATTTTTAACCTTGGGAATAGCACAGCCTTGTATTTAATTTTACCAACATATTACTGGGACCTATTTCAGCAAACTCTTCGTAGCAAAATCTGTATTACCATCTGAGGTCCAAAGGAGATCTATAAAGATGCCTCGGTTCATAAAGGTGCACACAGGACCACCCTGATGGACCATTACTCATCTTCCAAGGGATAAAGCCCCACCCTTATTGACCACAGGCTTAATGGTTAATGCCAATGAACTAAGACAGTTTTCATATCCTAGTTGTACAGTAGGAGAGATTTTTTAAAATACATATATTCCTGCCCCATCCCTAGAAACCTGGTTTGGATTTGATCAGCATCAATGTTTTTTAAAAGCAGTACAAGTAATACTAACATGCGGCAAGTCCAACATTATCAGGTTAAAGGAAGAAAAGCTGAGGAGTGGAAGAGGCAAGCCCATGCTGCACTCTACCTGCCATGTTTCCCTGGGGAGGCCACACTCCTGATTTCTTGTCTCACTTACCCTTACCAGGTTGGTGAATGACTGGCATAGGTACTAACAGCACAGACACTGAAATTTGTCTGACTTCCTTTTTTTCTGCCCTGGATCAAGACAAGGCAGTGATCCTGATTACATGTGTTTGCTCTTGCAGGCCCAAACCCTATTCAGGTTCCTGAGAGTCCCAAGGTTAAGACAGCAGAGAGGTACTGAGGTAGCACCAGCAGTAAACTAGTTTGGCCCTCATTCCTAAGCCATGTTCCTCTAGTAACGATGCTGACAATTTGATCTCCATTTGTCTGACTAATTAGTTCTGAACCTGGGCAGGGAAAAAGGAGATACCGATTTCCCTTAAGCCCTAATGGAAACCATTCTGAAGATAATACCACCACATGGAATATCTAAATGTCAAAGAGTTGATTTACGAATTGAAAACTAGAGACTACTTAACTTACAATGCTATAACATTCCAAGCAGCTCGAGGGGGCTGAAGGCATTTCTAAACCAGTATTTTTGGATGTGTGAAAAGGCTAAGTGTGCAATCTCCTCCCTTCTGCTGCCCAGCCACATCCCCCTATGTTAAAATTAAGCAGTGCTCTTCACATCAGTGGCTTCCCGATGATGTACAGTCTACCTGGTTTAAAAAAAAAAAAAAAAGTCTTCCTTATAAAATACTTTACCTCTACAATGGTTAACAGAGTTTCCTGAGAGTTTCTCATCACTTCCATGGTTTTCTCACAGCATCTAGGGTCAAACACATTATAAATACAGATTTTGTTACACACCAATGTCTTCAACATATCTTTATCTGTATACTCTCATGTGTAGTATGCTGAGCCTATGCTTGTTAATAATCTACAAATTTGTATCTCAAAATAGCATAATACCTGGCAGAGTGGGCTTTCATTAGATACCTGAAATGAATACAAGTATGTATTTGACTATTTCACAAGCTTGGCATTTACAAGAATAACACAACACTACTACGAAAGATTTATTTCCGTCTTTGATTTTCTTTCCTTTTTCTTTTTTCTTTGCAACGGGATCTTGCTACATTGCCCTGGCTGGTCTCAAACTCCTGGGGCCAAGTCATCCTCCTGCCTCAGCCTCCCAAGTAGCTGGGATTACAGTCATGCACCACTGTGCTCAGCTCTCAGTCTTTGATTATTGTGGCAATTATTAGTTTACACTGACTTCAATCTGCCCCAATCTGAGTACACAGTCCTATGCTGAGAAAACTACAAGGAATTGCAAAGTTTTTTTTTGTAGCACAATGTTACACTGAACACAAGCTCCTATAAATAAAAATGTAGTCTCTTCTATATCCCCAGTGATGAACATCCAATAGTAGTTCTGATCACTAAAAAGGAGTCAGCCAGGACAGAGGTGTTAAAAGTAAAGGTGGGATGCTTCCAGAGGAGGTTTGGAATAACAGTATGTATGTTACATGGGCTTAGGTCCCAGGTGGGTAGAAGGAAGGGGAACTATTATTGCTTTTACCCAGGGTCTTTTCCTTAGTATTGATAAAGCACTGGGCTATGACTCCAGCATTAAATTCTATAATCTGTACAAATCTCTAACCCGTGTGTGTATATATATGTGTATATGTATACACACACACACACACACACACACACAAATTTTTTTTTAGAGACTGGGTCTCGCTGTATTGCCTAGGCTGGACTCAAACTCCTGGGCTCAAACAATCCTCCCACTTCAGCCTCCTGAGTAGCTGGGATTACAGGTGCAAAGAACCATGCCCAGCCCATGTAATTTTGACATCAAAAATTATTTCCCTCCTTTACTTTATATCACTTACCTTCTGAAGACACCTTCAACACCAGTAATGCCCATGCCATCCACAATATCTCTGGTGAGTCTAAAAGGAACTGTCTCAGGAGTAGGAAGGATTTTGCCCTGTTCAAAAGCAACACCTAAAGTAAAGAATACAGTGAAGTTAGGAGGTTTGGCAGCTAATTTACTTTCTTTCCAGTTAGAATGTGAACTTTACAAAGGCAACAAACCATTTGTTACCTATATTCTATGAATACTAGTACATACAATAGTTTATTTCTACTCTGGCTGCCTTCCTCATCTTCTCTATGAGATCCACCTCAAATCCAAATAACATAACAACTTCTTGATGTAACTAGAGAAATCTAGGTTAAAGGGTGATTTTTAAAAATGAAGTAACTACTGGTATAATTTACAATGGAAATGACATATTTATATTTAAAAAATTTTTAGGCTGGGCGCCGTGGCTCACACCTGTAATCCCAGCACCTTGAGAGGCCGAGAAGGCCTGATCACCTGAGGTCAGGAGTTAAGAGACCAGCCTGGCCAACATGGTGAAACCATGTCTCTACTAAAAATACAAAAATTAGCTGGGCATGGTGGCAGGCGCCTGTAATCCCAGTTACTCAGGAGGCTGATACAGGAGAATCACTTGAACCTGGGAGGTGGAGGATACAGTGAACTGAGATGGTGCCATTGCACTCCAGCCTGGGCAACAAGAGTGAAATTCCATCTCAAAAAAAAAAAAAAAAAAAATTCATGAGACTTTATAATTATATGTTCACTTGGAGTTATAAGAAATCATACAGGAAAGATCATCCCATATGCCTTTTACCCATTTCACCCCAACTGTAATATCGTGCAAAACTATACTACTACTGACATAGATGAAGTCAAGATATACAATATTCCTATCATAAGGATCCTTCATACTGCCCTTTACAGCCACACCTATTTCCTTCCCATAGCCTATCACCCAGCCCCCTAACCCCCTATTTTTCTAGCAACCACTAATCTGTTCTCCATTTTTATAATTTTGTCATTTCAAGTATGTTATACAAATGCAAGTGGAATAATCATACAGTACGTAACCTTTTGGGAATAGCTTTTCACACTCTGCCTAATGCTCTGGAGATTCATCCAAATTGTTATGTTTATTAATAGTTCTGTTTCTTTTCATTGCTGAGTAGTATTTCAGGGCATGGATGTAACACAGTTTGTTTAAGCATTTGCCCACTGTAGGACATCTGGATTTTTCCGGTTCTTGGCTATTATGAATAAAGCTGCTATATACATTTGTAGTACATGGCCATTTTATGAGTAGATTTTGTTGTTAAGTTTTGCAAGTTCTTAAAGATGGTTCTTCTAGTATCAAGTCTAGGAACTCTGATTTGCCCTAGATGCTAAAGATTTCCTCTTAATTTTCTTCCTCTGTCGCTCAGCTTGAGTAATTTCTACTGCTCTGTCTTCTGTTCACTGATCACTTCTTCTGTCTCCTCATTCTGCAGTTGAAATTTATTTTATTTACTATATTTTTCTGTTCTAAAATTTCCATCTGGTTCTCCTTTATATCTATTTCTATACTGAGACTAATTATTTCTGTGCTGAGACTTACTATATTTTCATTTGTTTCAAGCATGTTTATAATTGCTCCTTCAAGCGTTTTTATGATGGCTGCTTTAAAATCTCAGATAATTCAAACATCATTGTCATCTCAGTGTTGGCACCTACAGGTGGTCATTTTTCATTAAAGTTGAGACTTTCCTTGTTCCTGGTATGACTAATGATTTTCAATCGATGCCTACACCTTTTAGTTATTATGAGACTCAGGATCTTCCTTAAACTTCTGCTTTTGATGCCTTTGGGAGTCACCACCTTGTTACCGCTAGGTAAGGGCAAAAGACTAGATTCCCCAGTTGGCCTCCACTGACACTCAACAGGGAAAGAGTTTGCTATAGCTGAGTAGGACTGAAAGTCCAGGTTCCCCGGATATGTCCACGGACACCAAGGAATGAGTCAGAAAAAAGGAAAAAAAGGTTGGAAAATATAGACTAGCAGGTAACAGTATAGAGTGAGAAGGCCTAACATAGGGTTACTGGAGTCCCAGAAACAGGAAGGAACCTGGATGGACCCTATGGCATGACTATGACTAACAGAATGTGATGGCAGTGATACTGTGCAAGCTGCGGGCCTAGCCCTTAACTTCCACTTCCTCCCCCTTGGAGCCCCAAGATGCTGAATAGGTCCAGGACACTATTGTGGACAGAGAGGCCACATAGGAGTGCTGAAGCATCAGACATGTAAGTGAAGAAGCCATCATGAACTCTGGCCCCGCTGAGTCTTAAGATAACTCCAACCCCAGATGCTAACTGCATCTGCATGAGAGATCCTAAGTGAAAACTGCCCAGCTGAGCCCAGTCAACAGACTATGAGAGATAATAAATAAATAAATAAATAAATAAATAAATAGATTGTGATTTTAAGCTACTAAATTCTGGGGTGGTTTGTTATGCAGCAACAGGTAACCAAACAGATATACACAGAATAGTACACAAATCACCCAAGTGTGTGACTGAGATTTTTGCAAAGTAACAAATCCACATTAACAGAACGCACCAGCATTCCAGAGGCCCCCCTTCAGCCCCTTCTACCAGTCACTAACCACCTCTTTCAAAGAGTCACCACTAGCCTGATTTCTAATACTGTACATTAATTTTTATCAGCCTTTGAATTTTATATAAATGGAATTATACATATGGACTCTTTTGTGTTGGAATCTTTCACTTAGCATTATATTTGTGAGAGTCTTCCATATTGTGTGTTATTGTTCATTCAATCTCATTATATACAAAGAGAATATAAATATACAATTTGTTCATCCATTCTACCTATGAGGGATATCTGGATTGTTTCTAGTTAGGGGCTATTATGAATAGTGCTACTATAAACATTTTTAAACATATGTGTGCATTTCTGTTGGAGTGGAATTGGTGGGTCACAGGATATACATGAAGTCAGCTTTAGTGGATAATGCCAAACAATATTCCAAAGGGGTTGTACCAATTTACCCCTCTCATTTATAGATGCTTTTAGCACGACCTGAATAGACACAGGTTTAGCACGACCTGAATGGACACAGGTTGGACACAAGATATTGTATATCTTGACTTTAATATAGTAAATAAAATCTTCCAGACCACTGCCCTTTCATTCTCAGATAAAGTCTCACTCCCCTGTTGAGATCCCCACCTTCTGGCTCTAACAAATCCCTCCCATCTTCATGTTTACTATGTAAACCTGTAAGGTTTTCTCTCACATTCACTGAATGTTGGCATGGACCTAGCTCACAATCTTCTCCTCTGTCCCAACTCTAGAATTCATTCTGGGGACAACCATATAATATCCATGACCATCTCTGTTCTAATGGAATTCAATTTCATTCTCTCTTAGCGAACCACTCATATGGGTTGCACTCCAGAAATGAGTCTCCTAAGACTGCACGCTCTTAGACATTGTAAATTGTACATTCCAATCAAAACCTCTTCTCCTTCGACCCCTTATTCTTACTAAACAGTCTCTGAATTTGACTGAGATTTCTAGTTTATTAGCCCTCTTCCTTCCCTAACTCAGCCCATGGGTACAGAATAAGCTTGATTACTCTCATCAGCGCTTCAAATCTGTTTGTCCCCTTGTCCCTCCGCCACATCTACCATTTTAAACTACAACTTAAGCTCCAAGGATGTTGAGGACTGCTGGAAAATCATACAACAACCCTACTGGCTCCACTACAAATTTAGGATTGAAAGTGTCCCTTAAACTGCTTGGCATGTCTTATTTATTTATCCCTTTCTAGTCAGGTCTTGGTCTCATTTCCATGGTAAATTTTAGAATTTTATTGTTCTTTTAAGGACAGTTAACATCCCTCCAATTCTTAGCAAATGAGCATGCTTTCTATTTCTCAGCGAAAACAGAATAGCAAATATAATTCCTTCATACTCCTTCCCCTCCAGCTTAAGACTTTCCTATTGGCATCACTTTTCCTCCTCTCTCAGCAGAAAAGCTAACATGCCTCCAATCTAAAGCCAATGCTACCAGACTTACGTACTTTATGATATCGCTTGCTATTTCAATTATCTTTTGTTTTTCTCCTGTATCTTCAATATCTAACATGTTTACACCTCTCCTATCTTAAAAAAGCAAGGACCAAAGGTGTCTCTCATCCCTGCAGCAAACTTCTCTGCCATCCTTCCCTTCCCTTCTAAACTTCTTATAGGAATATTCCACATTCTTTTTTTTTTGAGACGGAGTCTTGCTCTATCGGCAGGCTGCAGTGCAGTGGCTTGATCTTGGCTCACTGCAACCCCTGCCTCCCAGGTTCAAGCAATTCTCCTGCCTCAACCTCTCAAGTAGCTGGGACTACAGGCGCCCACCACCACACCAGGCTAATTTTTTGTATTTTAGTAGAGATGGGGTTTCACCATGTTGGCCAGGATGGTCTTGATCTTCTGACCTTGTGATCTGTGCCTGGCAGATTTCACATTCTTAATCTACACATCCCTAACTTCCATTCAGTCCTTGCCTTTTTACAGTATGGTTTCCTCCATTCTATCCAAAGGCGACTTCCAAGGCCTCTAAGATTGATTACTTGTTAAATTCAGAGGTCTATTTTCAGCATTCATCCTCTCTGACCTTTCTGTATCAGATACTATTGAGCACTATTTCTTTCATAACATACTTTCCCCTCTTGCCTTCCAAGATCCTGACTTCCTAGTTTTCAAGACTTGCGTACTTCTCAATTTTTTTCTGGCTCAGCCTTTCCAAGGCTCACTTTCCTTATGAGTTCATCTTTAGGTCTCTTTATCGAGGATGATGTGTAAGATCAGAACCTCCTCTAGCCCAGCGACTTCAACAGAAATCTATTTGCTGAAGATTCTGGATCTCCGTCATTACATTCACACTCCTTTCTTTCTTATATATTAAACTGTCCATTCCACCTATAAATCCCATTAATACTTCAAAATAATGCGCAAAACCAAATTCATCGCTTTCTTATTATTTACAAAACTTGATATACTCCTTAGCTAGAAGCTTCAGTTATCCGGGAGCCTCACTCTCCCACTATTTCCTCATTTAGTATCACTGGTACAGTTTACTACAAAAATGTCCCTCAAATCCAATCTTCTGGTTTCTACAACTTTAGTAAAAATCTTCATCATTTCTCTGCTAACCTATTATAATATCCCTTAATTTTTCTTCCTGTTGCCAATACCACTCCCCAAAGTGCTCCTAAAATTATCTTTCTGAAAATAAAATATGATTATGTCCTTCATTTATTTCCTATGGGTTAACGCACTGAAGCTGAAACTCCTCAGCCTGACTTTTTACAGTCCAGTACCAATCTCTCGCTCAAGCGACTCAACTACAAGCATACTTCACTCCAGACACATTTAATGTCTCACCACTCCCACAACATGCTACATCTTAAAATTACTCCTTGTTTTGGTGGAATAGCCCTGATTCCTTCTTCTGAATCTGCTCTATCTTCTGTCTGAATTATGCTTCCTTTCTTTCTTGAAGACCAGGCTCAAACGTCACCTCATCTATTAAGTTTCACTCAGTATCCCAGGCAGAGTTAACTGTTTCTTCCAGCACAACTGTTTATGCTGAAAACAAAAAACACCAATATTTACTGCTTTGATGTATCTGTCTCTCTTATATTTGTAATATCTTGGTAGGCAAACAACATTCCATGATGACCAAATATTTATTAAAAAGAATAAAGATACATAGATTTGATTACTTACCCAAATCTATATGTACAAGTTCTGCTGACTGCTCATTTATCAAGATATTCTGTACATGTCTATCACCAAGTCCAAGTATGTAACCAACTGGAAAAAAAACAAAAAACAAAAACGAACAATCTGAAATCACTGATTCCATCTCTTTCTAATATACAGCCATAATTTCAATTAAGACCACTGACTTGGTATAATCTTTAAGTAGTTTAGGATTTTTAGCCTACTTAAATGATGTGCATAACTGGCCATATTGAGTTTAACTCAAATCTTACCAGCTATTTTAATGCATACTGCATTTTACAAATCCTAGATGATTTGCTAAAAAAATTTGCTTACTAATAGGCACACATTTTAAAATATTAGTACTTAACAAATTATTGTGGCTAAAGTTGAGACCCATTATTTACCTGGGCCAAAACAGTGCATTATATGTACTCAAATTTTTACTGAACATACTTATAAGAAGTCTATGGATAAACTCTTCACTCTTCAGTGAAACTTTCTTCTCCTTGATGAATTATATTTAACACAAATTAACCATTAATTCATTTCATTTCACCAGGTATATATCCCCCCAAAAAACTGCATTTCTGTATTTCAGACAGATGATGACATCTGATGGGAGAGAAATCACATGGCATTACAAAAAAAACATTGGGTAGGGAGTCGGAATGATTGGATATCTGGCTCACTCTGTCATTAACTAGGCCTACTTTCTTGTTTATAAACTAGTTGTATCTGATTAGTGATTCTCTGTGTAGAAGAGAGTTTCACAATTACCTGGGAACTCTTTCAAAACATACAAGCCCTGCCTTCCTGGGATATAGTACATAAGTGATGAGTCATCTTTAGTTTAAAAAAAAGAAACAATAGATTAAATGATCTCTATGTTTCCATTAGTTCTCATGCTCTGGGATTTTGTTAACCATACTATCTACCTATTCTAATTTCTTAGGGGAAAAAAGTCAAAATATATATTGTATACAAAATATTTAAATATATCTCATGATTTCTATTCTGAAAACAAAATTCTATTAATATTAATCACTAGGTGATAATATTTAGAGTTATTTTAGAGGTTATATGCAAAAGAACAAAAATAATTAAAGGAAGTAAGTTATCACAGGTTTTATTATTTTCCAAAGAAAGTCTCAGAAAATAATACATTGAGGAGAGAAAATACGCCACATTAACTATAAAACGAAGAAGAAAACCCTGTCTTTTTATTATTTATCAAAGTACGAGAATTCTCTTCACATAAGTTATAAAAAGGTAGATGCTAAGAATCAGGATGAACAAGAAACATAGTGATTTAATAATGAAGATAGTTTGGTTACTAACTACATCATCACTATCATCCCCCTGCAACTCAGAATGTAAAAAAAGTGCTGAATCAAACAAAAATGAAACCTGCCAAACAACGAAGTGCTGAATCTACTATATGTACAAGATTACCAATAGAAGACGTGGCTACACTGCGCGTATAAGCCAATCGCTTCTCAAACCAAATAGCTGGATCCAAGAATTTTTCCATGCAGAAGTAACGGAAAACTGGTTGAAAATTTTGGCAAACATCCATGAAGACTTCATATTTATCTTCAAAAGACTTTTTTTGCACCTCCTTTAAATAGAGCATATATATAATTATTTTTCAATATTGTGTTCGATTAAACTAATATCCACATTTTTATATAAAAATATGACAGATATAGGGGCAATAAAGATGAATAGGATACATTACCTACAAGAAGCTAACAGTCTGGACAGGGAACCAATCAATTACAAGTGATAATCCCTTTAGGATTTCCGTTATTAATCGTTGGGGAAGGAAGCACACCTACGGTGACTGTTACTTGTTTTGATTAAATTCTAATTTGAATAATCCTGTAATCTTAAGCAGAAGCAAAGACAGAAACACCTCACTAGTTCCAGTAGCTCAGATGGCATCACAACATTGGGTTGCAACAGAAAACAGGAAAAGGGAGAGAACAGAGGAATCCCTCATGGATGGCAGGTGACATGACTCAGATCTCTATCCTCCAACATATTCAGGTAAAATACTACCTGAAGCAAAGCTTACCGACTTCAACTCCCTCCCATCTATATGCTGATGATTTCTAAATCTGTATGTTTGGCCCAGATATCTTTATTAAGCTTTAGCTTAATGTGCTTCTCCAGCTGCCCATCCAACATCTTCACTTGGATCACTTCCAAATCCAAACAAATACTTCTTCATCTCTGGCAAACTTTAGTCACCTCTTCTATTCTTCAATTCAGTAAAGAGCTTCACCGTCTACCCAGCTGCCCCAGCCAGAAAACTGGGAGGCACTGGCTACTCCTTTTCTCCAACATTTTTTATTTTTTTTATTTTTTTATTTTTTTTTTTGAGACAGGGTGACAGGGTCTCCATCACCTGGACTGGAGTGCAGGGGTGTGATCACAGCTCATTGCAACTTTGGCCCCTGGGCTCAAGCAATCCTTCCACCTCAGCCTCTTGAGTAGCTGCGATTACAGGCACGTGCCACCACTACCTGGCTGACTTTTTATTTTTTGTAGAGATGGGGTCTAACTATATTTCCCAGGCTAGTCTTAAACTCCTGGGCTCAAGCAATCCTCCTGCCTTGGTCTCCTTTAAGTGCTGGGATTACAGGCATGCGCTACCACACCTGCCCCCCAACCTTATTTTTAATCAGCAGTCAAATCCTGTGAATTCTGTCTCCTTCATATTTCTCATCTCTACCCACGATTCTCCCTTCCTACTGCTATTCATCTCAGTTCAGACCATCTCATGCCTCCAGTCTGCATTCTCAAAAATAGAACCCACAGTGCTGTCGGAGTTTCTTTCTAAAATGCAAGTCTGATATTACTATCCTTTAGGGTCTTATAAGACCTATAGCATAAATTGCAAACTCCTTTGCATTTCATAAAGCAACACTCCATCTTCTGACCAACAACTACTGCTCCAATCTCATCTTTTCTTCCTCAAACACTAAGGCTATGCTTACGTTGTCTGCGCCTGCTCATGCCTCTTCTCCTTTGCTTATATGCTCCTTCTGCCTGAAAAACAACTCATTTACAAAACTTGGTTCACACACACTTTCCTCTGTGAAGCATTTCTTGGATCTACTTATCTTTATTCTCTCCACCCCAGGCAGAACTAAGCACTTCCTTCTCCATACCTACACTGTACCCTGTGTGCCAGGTACAGATTTCCATCACAACACCTATAGCACTTACCACATATTTTTAAAAACATGTCACAGAAAGCACAATAAAATGAAAAGTAAATGGATTTTGGATTTAGACAAGGCTCAAATCCTTGCTCTGTTTATTAGCTCACTGGCTTTGGGAAAGTTCTCTGAACTTCTCATTTTAAAATGGGGATAAGGATCATGATGATTAGTCATACTATTTGTGAAGTCTGAAGTCAGCACAGTACCTGGTAGATAGAAAGCATACAATAAATGTTTCTGATTCTGTGAATGAGTATCAGACTAGATGGCCAATGTGACACTGTAAATGTCTTAGAAGGTTTTCTATTTCAATTTCATAAAAAATTACTTCATACTCTTGTTGTTGTTGTTTTAGTGTGTGTCTGTTTTTTAGAGATGGGGTCTTGCTCTGTTGCCAAGGCTGGCCTCAAAATCCTGGGCTCAAGTGATCCCACAGACTCAGCCTCTCAAGTGGCTGGGATTACAGGTGCCTGCCATCGTGCCTGGCATTTTAGTGTTTTGTTTGTTAATAATTAGTTTATTCCCAAATTGAAAACAAATCAGCACGCATTGAATAACCTTTACATTTCTTATCTGACAAGGGATGACATACGTAGTTTATAAAATCCTTCCTTTTTCACTCACACACTTTCATTCTGATGAGTTTACTTTCTTTTACTTATTATCTTTGACAATTACCTGATGAAATTTAAGTTTTTTTGTATTCTACAATATCTGATAGCTGTCAGCTTTAATAAGCCATTAAATAATCTTGCAATAAGCTTTAATTTTGGGTGTCACTCACCATCATTTTCTTTTGGCATTGAAAGGCACTGAAATCATTTGGCCTGTATCTTTTATGAGCACCATCTTCATTGTTAACAAGAAATTCACCAATAGGGATAGTTCCTGTACACCATTCAAGAACACCACTTCGCTGAGAGAGGGGAACCACCTGGAGTTACAGATTAAATACCTTTTAATTTTAAAAGGCCATTAAAGAGCATTTGATGATCATTCAACTATCAGAGTCAGTGCAAAGCATTTTTTTCAAGTTGTATTAATATTTCTCTGTTCATAGAAGACAAAGCTCCTTGGAGGAAACCAACCAGAAATAAACTTAAGCTCAAAGAATGTAATTTTCCAGTCAGCTGCCTAGATGTTTGAGAGCCTGCCCATCACTCAATCCCCACGATTCTCTGAGAGGTCACTCCTGTTAATTACACTCACCATCATCTGTCATTAATCCATACTTACTTTGTCTAGTTAGGAGAGGAATTAACTGTTTTCCTTACCATTTTAATATCAATTAAAGTCGGGGAGCTTCACTTGGAAATTATTACCCCTGAATGTGATCTCAATTTTAGTGTAACTTCATTACTGAAATTACATGTACTCTTGCTTTACAGTGTTATTATCTTCACAGAGAGAAAATGTACTCCTAAATATAAAATAAGCAATTTTACAAGGAAATTTTTAAAAATTATAAGCATACATAAAGTGTAGAAAATGATATTAACAGATACACTTTTATCCATTAAACAGCCATATCAAATCTAGGATTTTCTGACATTTGCTGGGGAAGAGATGAAGCTCCCCGTTGTGTGCTTCACTGACCCCAAGTCCCTCCCCACCGTCAAGACGACATTAGCTGGTTTATCATGGTCATGTATTTTTTGGTATACTTTTATTTCAAAGCTATATGTACACAAATAGTTGTAAGTATTAAGTGAAATTATGATACTACATGTAAACTTCTATAATTTGGTTTTTTATTCAATACTATTTTATCCTAACTATGTGAGCATATTTAACTCTATATCATTCAACAGCTATATACTACATAAATACACCACAATTATCCAATCTGCATTTACATTGTTTCCACATTTCCATGAAATATTGCTGCAATGAAATAAACTACTCCTGAACATATTTCATTTTCTCTAGGCAGCAGTGTCCAATCTTTTGGATTCCCTGAGACACACTGAAAGAATTGTCTTGGGCCATACATAAAATATGCCAACACTAACGATTGCTGATGAGCTAAAAAAGAAAAAAAAAAATGCAAAAGAAAATCTCATGATCCTTTTTGTTCTAATTAACATTATTATATTCATTTCCTCAGCTGGTCACTCGTCTTTATGGTGTCTTTAATTCTATACATTTTTTAATTTTAATTTTCTCACATACGTTGAACTGTTTTGTGTCTTAAGGAAGCATTTGATTAATTTATTAACATATATTTGTTGGGGGTGTATTATGTATTACACACAGGGCTAGGGCACTGAAAACAGACTGGCAAAAAGGCAGATGAAGACTATGCCCTCATAAAGTTTCATTCTGGTGAGGAACATATATCCTAATAAACATTTCATGATATTAGATAATAAGTATAAGAGAACAAAACATAAGTTTAAAAAAGAGAGAAAGTGGGTAATGGCAACATGCTTGGAGGCCTTTCTGAGGGTAACACTGGAGCAGAAGCCTGAATGAAGGGAGTGACTGGGTACCTGGTAGATAGAAAGCATACAATAAATGTTTCTGATTCTGTGAATGAGTATCAGACTAGATGGCCAATGTGACACTGTAAATGTCTTAGAAGGTTTTCTATTTCAATTTCATAAAAAATTACTTCATACTCTTGTTGTTGTTGTTTTAGTGTGTGTCTGTTTTTTAGAGATGGGGTCTTGCTCTGTTGCCAAGGCTGGCCTCAAAATCCTGGGCTCAAGTGATCCCACAGACTCAGCCTCTCAAGTGGCTGGGATTACAGGTGCCTGCCATCGTGCCTGGCATTTTAGTGTTTTGTTTGTTAAGAATTAGTTTATTCCCAAATTGAAAACAAATCAGCACGCATTGAATAACCTTTACATTTCTTATCTGACAAGGGATGACATACGTAGTTTATAAAATCCTTCCGTTTTCACTCACACACTTTCATTCTGATGAGTTTACTTTCTTTTACTTATTATCTTTGACAATTACCTGATGAAATTTAAGTTTTTTTGTATTCTACAATATCTGATAGCTGTCAGCTTTAATAAGCCATTAAATAATCTTGCAATAAGCTTTAATTTTGGGTGTCACTCACCATCATTTTCTTTTGGCATTGAAAGGCACTGAAATCATTTGGCCTGTATCTTTTATGAGCACCATCTTCATTGTTAACAAGAAATTCACCAATAGGGATAGTTCCTGTACACCATTCAAGAACACCACTTCGCTGAGAGAGGGGAACCACCTGGAGTTACAGATTAAATACCTTTTAATTTTAAAAGGCCATTAAAGAGCATTTGATGATCATTCAACTATCAGAGTCAGTGCAAAGCATTTTTTTCAAGTTGTATTAATATTTCTCTGTTCATAGAAGACAAAGCTCCTTGGAGGAAACCAACCAGAAATAAACTTAAGCTCAAAGAATGTAATTTTCCAGTCAGCTGCCTAGATGTTTGAGAGCCTGCCCATCACTCAATCCCCACGATTCTCTGAGAGGTCACTCCTGTTAATTACACTCACCATCATCTGTCATTAATCCATACTTACTTTGTCTAGTTAGGAGAGGAATTAACTGTTTTCCTTACCATTTTAATATCAATTAAAGTCGGGGAGCTTCACTTGGAAATTATTACCCCTGAATGTGATCTCAATTTTAGTGTAACTTCATTACTGAAATTACATGTACTCTTGCTTTACAGTGTTATTATCTTCACAGAGAGAAAATGTACTCCTAAATATAAAATAAGCAATTTTACAAGGAAATTTTTAAAAATTATAAGCATACATAAAGTGTAGAAAATGATATTAACAGATACACTTTTATCCATTAAACAGCCATATCAAATCTAGGATTTTCTGACATTTGCTGGGGAAGAGATGAAGCTCCCCGTTGTGTGCTTCACTGACCCCAAGTCCCTCCCCACCGTCAAGACGACATTAGCTGGTTTATCATGGTCATGTATTTTTTGGTATACTTTTATTTCAAAGCTATATGTACACAAATAGTTGTAAGTATTAAGTGAAATTATGATACTACATGTAAACTTCTATAATTTGGTTTTTTATTCAATACTATTTTATCCTAACTATGTGAGCATATTTAACTCTATATCATTCAACAGCTATATACTACATAAATACACCACAATTATCCAATCTGCATTTACATTGTTTCCACATTTCCATGAAATATTGCTGCAATGAAATAAACTACTCCTGAACATATTTCATTTTCTCTAGGCAGCAGTGTCCAATCTTTTGGATTCCCTGAGACACACTGAAAGAATTGTCTTGGGCCATACATAAAATATGCCAACACTAACGATTGCTGATGAGCTAAAAAAGAAAAAAAAAAAATGCAAAAGAAAATCTCATGATCCTTTTTGTTCTAATTAACATTATTATATTCATTTCCTCAGCTGGTCACTCGTCTTTATGGTGTCTTTAATTCTATACATTTTTTAATTTTAATTTTCTCACATACGTTGAACTGTTTTGTGTCTTAAGGAAGCATTTGATTAATTTATTAACATATATTTGTTGGGGGTGTATTATGTGTTACACACAGGGCTAGGGCACTGAAAACAGACTGGCAAAAAGGCAGATGAAGACTATGCCCTCATAAAGTTTCATTCTGGTGAGGAACATATATCCTAATAAACATTTCATGATATTAGATAATAAGTATAAGAGAACAAAACATAAGTTTAAAAAAGAGAGAAAGTGGGTAATGGCAACATGCTTGGAGGCCTTTCTGAGAGTAACACTGGAGCAGAAGCCTGAATGAAGGGAGTGACTGGTGTGAAGATCTGAGGGAAAAGCATTCCAGGCAGAAGCAGAAAAGCCCTGAGGCAGAAACAAATTGGTGTGTCTAAGCTATTGCAAAAGACCAGGTAAGTCAAGTGAAGATGACTCATCTATACAAGCAGAAAGTGAGAGGAGTGTGAGGAGACTGGCAGATAAGGCTGGAGGGAGAACAGCAGAGGCAGATGACTTAGAGAGCTGTCATTCAGGGACAGTGTGAACTCATCTGGGGTTCTGAACAGGAAAATGGAATATGGCTGGCCCTCTGCATCCGCAGATTCAACCAACTGTGGATCAAAAATATTCACCAAAAAACCCTCAATAAAAACAATCCAATAAAACACAGATTTTAAAAACCAATACAGTAAAACAACTATTTACATAGCATTTACACTATATAAGGTATTTTAAGTAACCCTGAGATGATTTACAGTACATGGGAGAAGGTGCATAGGTTACAGGCAAATGCTACATACACCACTGTATATAAGGGACTTGATTTTAGTATCCACAGGGGGCTCTGGAAACAATCCCCCACAGATACCGAATGATAACAGTATTCTGTCTTAGATACTTTTAAAAGGATCACTCTAACAGTTATGAATAAAACTAGCTTTTGAAAACCAAGAGCAGAAGTAAACTGTTGGTTTGAACGCTAGTATCTACAGAGATGTGACTGTAGAAGTAGGGTGGTAATAGCAGGGGTGGTAAAAAGTGACCTGCCTGGAAGTTGACCAATAGGACTTGCTGATGGAATAGACGAGACTTGAGAGAAACAAGAGTTTAAAATGACTCCCATTACTTGGTGACATTTAGGAATTTTTGTGAATTGTTTTAGGAGTGATGACAGTATTGTGATAATGGTTTTTTAAAACAGACATTATCTTATAAATCTACACACTGAAATGCTTACAGATGAAATGATATGACATCTTGCTTTAAAATAATATTGGAAGGAAGTTGGTGGAAGGAGAAATGGAACAAAATTGCCCATGAGTTGGTAACTGCTGAAGCTGAGTGACGAGTACAAGGGGGTTCATGATGTCTCCTTTTGTATGTTTGAAATTTTCCATAATAATAAAAAAAGAAAATATAGCCTCTAGGTTTCAGTCTGAGCAACCAAGTGAAGGTGGTGCCATCTCTAACAATACACTTTGCATTTTAATTATGTTTATTATGTTTATCTTCCCTATTAGAATGTGAACACCTTAAGGACTAGGGCGATGTTTTACTGCTTCTATAGACCTAGCACTCACTAGAGTATCTAACCCAACATAGGCATATAAATTCACATTTATTGAACAAACGAATGATCTCATGGCCTTTCTGACTTCCCTTCTTGCCTGAGTATTCTACATTGCCCTCTCCCCTGCTCTTTGACTTTGAGTTAGCTGTGACCCTTGATGCTTGATCACATTAACATTCTTGCAGTGTAGTGTACTCTGTCTAAAGTCTCTTTTACATTGATTACTCTCTATCAATATCTAGTTCGGAGGGGGGGGAATCAAACCCTTATTTTTTGTTGAGAGATTGATGTAGAAAGGAATAGGTTAGCTTTTTTCTGCCTCAGCTTAGAGTCTCAACTGTGATGTTGGTGGTTGGAGAAAGAGCTGAATTTGAATTTCAAAAAGCAAATGACAGTGTTTTCTCTGGTACTAAAGATTCTCTGTAAAATTTCAATTGGGTATCTGGGTATTTTGTGTAAATACCACAGAAAAGGACTGATGACTATTTCCTCAGTTCTCTCAAAATACACAGCTGATACCATCCTAGATACACAGAAATGAAGTTAATTCATTATATTCAGTGAATGCCTTAAGATATTATGGCTTCTCTCCCCAGAACCATGACTGAGATGGAGGCTCTGAAATATGCATGACAAGGAATAAAAATTATTTATTGGCACAAGGCAGGATGATCAGGTTAAATACAAAGCTCCTTTCAGCACTTACATATTGGAGACTTGCCTTTTAGAAAACAAATCCTCTGACACCTAAGATTTTAGGCTTGTTCAGTATACTTTGTAACAATGCATAGTTTTGGTGGAGAAAAATGGGGTCAGCCACCCTAATTCTGGTTAATGTTAAGGGTATGTCTGAGTTATCAACATATACAATAAGAACTGTCTTCATTTCCATCTGATTCTCTGACAAGACATATCTGGCATGCCTCAATATACAAGTCTCTCCTTTTGAGGTTGCACAATAGCACAAGGTTTGTATACCAAGATTTAGTTCCAGGTAGTCAATGTTTGCTCTTGGTGACACAATGACCACAGAAGACCTGAATCTCAGGATTGGGAATGACTCTACAGATGACTGGACTGGGTAGACTACTTCGCTGTAGTCTAGGGAACTTCAACTAAAGGCAAGAACAGTTAGTTTAACATAATGATGACACAACTTTCACATTCTGGGAGTAATCACAGAATAACATAATTGGCTTATTGTTGTAATTCTAAGAAATAGTGAAACCTAAACTGTTGCGTTTAGAGGTTATACTTTAACATTGAGATGTATAACATTAAATACTCAATTAATTACCTGGGTTACTCCCCCCCCTTTTTTGGTTTAAGACAAGGTCTTACTCTGCTGCCCAGACTGAACTGCAGTGGCATGATCACAGCTCATGTACAGCCCCAAACTCCTGATTTCAAGCAATCCTCCCGCTTTAGCTTCTTGAGTAGCTAGGACTATAGGTGCATGCTACCATGGCCAGCTACATTTTTAATTTTTTGTAGAGATGAGGTCTTGCTATGTTGCCCAGGTTGGTTTCAAACTACTGGCCTCAAGTGATCCTACTGCCTTGGCCTCTCAAAGTGCTGAGATTACAGGCGTGACCCACTGCATCTGGCCTCTAGACATTTTTCTTTTCTTAAGACGAAGTCTCGGTCTGTCACCTAGGCTGGAGTGCAGTGGTACAACCTCGGCTCACTGCAATCTCTGCCGTCCGGTTGAAGTGATTCTCTCACCTCAGCCTCCCGAGTAGCTGAGACTAGAGGCATGTGCCACCATGCCTGGCTAATTTTTTTGTATTTTTAGTAGAGATGGGGTTTGGCCATGTTCACCAGGCTGGTCTCAAACTCCTGGCCTGAAGTGATCCACCCACCTCGGCCTCCTGAAGTACTGGGATTACAGGTGTGGGCCACCATGCCCGGCTAGAAATCTTAATGGAATAATTTATATGGTAAAATAGTTTTGTGTGAAAACTAGCTGTTGAAAAAGTCATAAGGTAGAGATGAAAGTTTAGTAATTCCTGCCTTCAAGATATTCTAGGTCAGGCATTGGCTTTTTTGTACTTTACAGCAATGAACTTTGGAGGTTCAATTGTGTACCTGATTGGAAATCTTAGCTACTTTCTGAGAGTTCAGGAGGTGCTCCTATAGCCC